GTCTGCGCCACTAGGGTCTTGACATGGGGTTCCTTCCTTTGTAATTTTCTAATCTCACTTCCTCCCTTTTTTCTGTGTTGAATTGCCTCCTGTATGTCACAACATGGCGTGCATTTCGTTCAGCGTTTCTCCATCTATCTTTGCCTTTGTCATTTCTGACCTGTAACCATCTATCGGTTGGCACTTCAGCAGGGAGTTTGAAAGTCACTCTTCGAGCAGCCTTGGGGTGAGGGCTATCAGGCCTTCGCTGTTTGTGTCTGCTGTCGAAACGTGGGCCCATCTGGACAGTTTCTTGATGGTTCCAGCAAGGGGCGAAGGGAATCGTTTCGAAGGCCCTGGCCATGCTTTGGTCATACACAGCAGAACACCTTGGGCAAATCAAGCACTTGGTTGCCCCTTTGTAGCAGCGAAACAGAAATTCCAGCAAACTTTCTCCAGCCTTGGGATAACACCTAAAAAGCTGGTTATCCTGGCGCCAATTGTTGCCAGTTCGAGTCCTCTGTACCTTTTCGAAATTCGTAGCAATTCTTTGATTGCAGAGGATGCTGCATCTAGGGCACAATATCATGCCTGAATCTCCTTTGTGGCATGTCATGAGATACTCCTTGAGACTAGCATCTCCAGTGTGATTATCCCCCATTCTATACTTTTCTTTTTCTAAGTATTTTTCCACTTCCTCCATCTCAGAGCGAGGTCTTTCCATATCCACCATATTTATTTCCACATCTCCCTCTTTAGCTTCATCATCACCCCATCCTGTGGGCTTTATATCCTCAATCTGAACCTTCGAACTCTCTGGGGCAAAATATTTGACCAAATAGTCAAATTTTCCACTGGGTTCCCCTAGAGTGTCCCATATTTCTTTCTGGAGGGAAATTGGCTGTGTGATTTGGACTTTCTCCAATTCCAGCCTCAAGCCTTCAATGACTTGTGTTAAATCTTGGTTTTGATTTCCCTGGCTTTCAGTAGCCTGGGTTTCTCTTGCAACAGCTACAGGGGCGGCAATCGGAGTCTCTGGCGTATTCTGGATGTCTTCAGTGACCTCCTCGCTGACTTCGACCATCACCCAGTTTTCAACTCCAGTACCCTTCTCTCCTGTTAGGGCGTCACTTTGATCAGTTTCCACCATGTTGACCTCTCCAATGCACGCAGGCTCGGAGTAGTTGGTGTCTGCAACGTCCAAGGGATCTTCGTCCACTTTCATCTTCACCTTATCAGCAAACTTTAGTCTGCCATCCTTGATCGCGTTTTGAATCAGGTCCCTGAAAAGAAAACATTGTGAGGTTTTGTGGCCTAGGAAACTATGATATTTGCAAAATCCTCTCTTCTTTCTCTGATCCAAAGGAGGTATTTTGATATTTGATGGCACAATTAGTTGGCCATCTTTGACAAGTAAGTCAAAAATCTCGTCACACTTAGTGACATCGAAGGTATAAACCTTCTTTGGAAATTTGTCACTTTTTTCATTTTCAACAATATCTTTCCCTTTTGTGGGAACTAACAATTTGCAGGAATAAGGCGGGGCTTGTTTTAATTCAGTGAGGTCGATTTCGACCTCTTCGAATTTGAATTCAGGATATTCTTCTGCTTCCTCAGTCCCAACATAGGAAATCCTTTCTTTCTTGCTATTCTTAAATACTCTGGCTTTTTCGGCCTTTAGTCTTTCGACCTGTCGAACCCTATCGGCTAACTGAGCCATATCCCTCAAATACTGAGTGTCTAGTTTCTTTCGAATAGAATAATCCAAGCCACCAGCGGCCATTTCGACTAACTCATGTTCAGGCACTACTGTGTAACATCTGGATTTCAAAAGCCTAAATCTATTCAAATAATCATCTATGGGTTCGGTGAACTTTCTCTTAACACTGGCCAGTTCCTTCAAACTTATTTTCGACTGTCCCATGTAAAATTGTTCATGGAATAATCTCTCTAAGAGAGCCCAAGTGTCAATGGACCCAGGAGGCAAAGTGGTAAACCATGTGAAGGCGTTTTTTGTCAAGGAACTTGGGAAGTATTTGATCCTGAGATCTTCATTATTGGCTATATCTCCCGCTTCGGTTAGATATCTCGCTATGTGTTCGACCGTTGACTCATTGGTATCCCCAGCGAACTTTGTAAATTTAGGGACTTTATATCCCCTTGGTAAATCAGTATGCATTATGCAATCCAATATGGGAGAAGCGTAATTTGGCCTCCTCATTCCTGTATTGAGGCCATTCTGGGCCATGACTCTCTCTATCATGGTGGTTAGGTTGTTTTCTGCCAAGATGTTATCGTTTCGAATTCTATGAACGACGGCATCGACATCTTGATTTCGACCAACCAAAACAACTCCCCTAGGTTGTTCTTCTCGAAACTCTGGGGCTTCTAGCCTTTCGACCCTTGCCCCTGGTTCCATAATTTCCCTTTGTGGGCCCGGGATTATTGGGGCTTCTAACCTTGGTGCCCTGGCCCCTAAGTTAACTTCGTCTCTGGGTGGTCTATAAACTGGGTCTGTTTGTTCTATAACAGGCATGTTTGTTCGAAATCTCGCCTGATTCTGCCTACGCCTTTCTGGGGGAGCAAAGAAATCTGCTATTCGACTCATATTGTCAGCGTTTTCCCTGTTCGTCACAGTCACATTTTGCACTATTGGGGCAAATATCTCCTGCATGGTTTGTGCTAACACCCCTATCATATTATGGTTACTGTCATCCATCAATTGCCTAAAAGCCAACTGGTTGTCTGTGGTTAGGATAGGTATTATGCTATAACCCACCGACCCTTGGTTATTTGTCATAAACTGATTCGCCCCAGACCCAGACCCTAGTTGTGGAGATGAATTCGATGTGGAATTGTGTAAACCTACCATAAAAGATGTTGGCATTCCATAAGAGGAATTTCTGGTTCTATTCCCATCGAAACCGGGTGGTCTAGTTAATGGAGTGGCGAAATGGGATTGTGTCCCTGATGGTGGAACGAATCCCCCAGGGTAGCCAATGGTTCCAGTATTTCCTAAGATCGAACTATTAGTTGATATGCCACTTACTCCATTGGTGGCTACGTTACTGGTCGAAGATGCAACAGATGTGCATTCGAAGGGATTACATTAGATGTTCCGATCGAAGTGGACGCGTTAGTGCCTGTCGCATGTGGGCCATTTTGGTCCCCTTGTTGATTGTCTGAATTAGACATTTTGTCCAAACGTTTTCTTCTGGATAAAGGTTGGTTGCTGTTGGTTATCTTACCACTTCTCAGGTTCATAAAACAGCAAACTTCTTAGGTTCCAACGTTTTTGTAATGGTTATGTCTCAACAATCCTTATTTCTAATATCCAATTATTGGTCCCACCAGGTGTGCCAATTTGTTTCCAGTGATTTCTGGTAAACAACCGCTAGTCTTCCAAACTATCGAATAATCTTTCTGACTGTTATTCAATTCCTCTGGTAACTCACAGGATCGACTAGATTGATCCTAGGACTCCTTGGATATTAAGGTTACTCTCACGATCGAACAGATATTCATGGTTGATATTGTATATGTGTTTGGCTTATTTCGATTTCTCTCTCTAAAAGTCTAAAGATGTGATCAAGATGGGTGTGAAAACTAAGTTACATGAATAAGTGCTAATTGTAATGCTAATTGTAAAGACATGTAAAACTGCATAAAAGTGAAGTAAATGGTTTCGACTTACAAAACAGTTAATATAAAGGATTTCTGGAACGTAAAAGGTTTGATTTTAAGGCTTGAAAGTAAAGGTATGAAAAATATGACAGTTTTCTGAGATATAAAGTGCTCGAAATATGAAGAAAACATTAAAATATAAAACTTTGAAGAAGAGATTTCGAAGTGAAAAGACTGTAAATAAGAAAACTTGTAAAGGTTATTTGACAAAAAGAATAAAGGAAAGTACTGGAAACGGTAAAAGGTTTTCATTAAATCAAAAATACATGGTGCTATCATACATACATTTCTCTTGCATTCGTTTCCCTTGCCATGTGGTAGTTTGAATGTTATTGAGTATTTTGTATAATAGATATGACACACGAAATCCTAATACTAAGACTTCTATTTATACTAATTCGACCATAACGGTCTTGCTATAGGATTATGTCACGTTTAGAACATGCAGGACAATGCCTCTTTCATCTTTCCACGTGTCCCCAAATGTTCCAACACATAATTTTCAAACTTCGAAAGTCCCGCTTCCATTTGAATTTCAAATGCTTTGGTGCTTCTCCGTTTCGAACGCTCTTCCCAGACACAACCTTGTTGTTGTTTCGAGACTTCTTTAGATATGTTCCCATAATTGCCACTCGAAGCTCCAAGCTTTGACACACTTATTCGAAACATTGCTTCTGCTACTTCGAAATATGACGCTTCACCTCATTTCGATCAAAACGTTTAATTCATTTAGCTTCTAATAACATTATCAAAATCTTCAGCCAACACCCATTTACTAAAACCTAGATTTTGAAGCATATAATCCATAAAACTCTAACTAATCAAATCATACACATTTTCAAAATTTAATTTGAAGATGAGACAATATTTCTTAGATTTTTTTTCCATGTCAATCAACTCATTGATTGCCACTTCTTCGTGAATCAATTATCTCCCTCTAATGAATATTGATTAGTTAGGAGAGACAATACCAATGGTGATAGATAACCTATAATCTAGAATCTTTGCCACTGGCATATAGAGAGATCTAATCGGTGAGATGAGAGAGAAATCTCCCAAGCTCATTGGATAATCCACCTTCGGAATCAAAGTAGCAAAGCTACGATGTAAAGATGCAAGACAAAAATAGTGATCAAACATATTTTGGATTTTTGTCTTTAATATATGCTATAACGTCTTAAAGGAGATATTAAAGTCACTGACCCTAGATTCTTATTTTCATCATAGTGAGCCACCACCGAATAAATTTCATACTAAATGGAGTCGATTCCATCTAAGGTTGGATTAAAACGGAAAGGATCAACAAAGTAATTAGTGAAGAATATGACCAATTCCTCTCAAACTTTTGTGACCCCCTCCACCTTCTCATATCCACATGGAGGGCCAGTAGAGTATTTTCTCCTTCTCTTCTTAACATTGGTATTAAAATAAGGATTTCCTTCTCCGAGCCACCTAGTCTGAGATCTCATAAAGTTTAAAAGATCTTTGCATTTAAAAAGAAACCACATACTCAAAAGTGCCTCACTCCTTTGCATCAAAGTCCTTAACATTCTATCTTAATAACTCTATCCTAAAAACCTATCTTAATAACTCGAACCTAAAACCTAAATTATCAAAGACCTTCATACTCCACTTTTTAAGATCACCCTTAAGGGATTTTAATTTCTCTTTGAGGACAAACTTCTTCCATCCTAGAGAGATCGATAAGGTCTAACTCTTAAAAGTCAACTCAAGAACTTTATAGTCAAACTAGTAGATATTAAATCTAAGATACTTAGTCCCCCAAATTTAGTTTGAGTAACGAAGAACCAAAGGATAATAGTAAGAAAGATCCCTCTTGCAAGGCCCACTGAGATGTCATGCCCATTAGATACAACTAACCCCATCTGAAACCAGAATTCTATCAATCTGACTTACTACTTTTCCTATAAGGTTAAACCATGTAAGCCACTTTTATAAAAAGGGTGGATCAACCAACTTCATTAGATCAATAAAATTATCAAAAGCCAAACAATCAACCACCTACCACTCCTGAGGATTTTGGTAAAGTGAATCCTCTCTATTGATAAACAAACATAATTAAAGTCTCCCATGACACAAATTATCACCTCTAAAAATCTATCTACGGCTAATAAAATTCCACCACAACATCTTTCTTTATTGAGAATAACACAATTAAAATAGTCATTAACCACAATAACACTCACTTTATGCAATATCCAATATCCTAATCTATGTTGAAAATGTGTTAGTTGCTCTCATGAAAATTGAAATTCTAAGAACATTGCCAACACTAACTTACTTTTTCAACCCAAAAGAATCTCGTTTAAAAATGATTTCATCTAACCAAACATAAATATTAATCTTGTTTTTCAATAGATTTCATATTACTTTTTGTTGGCTTTTCTATTAAACTCAACAAACCACTCTCCTGATAATATTTTTGTGCAGTTTTTCTATTATCACTAGAGAGAAGAGTTATCATCAACTTAAACCTAAGCAATATTAATGGGTGGTATACATGTAAACACTAATATTATATTATAGTAACATGTAAACGAATATTTAGCATCTTACCTTTAATAAAATGGCATTTGTTTGAGGAATTTCTTGAAACATATCTCCACCAACATAGTTTAGGTTATGACTTCCTTGCAAGCCATCAACAACATGTGGGAGATCAAACACAATGCATTCTAATTGTGGGAACGATTTGGCAAGAGCCTTTGCCATAGTCCCTGTGCCCCCTCCAACATCAACTAATGACTCCAATCCATTGAACACATCCTTACAATTCTCAATCAATAGATTACTCACTAATCGAGCATCACTTGCCATGGACTCATTGAATAAACGGTTAAATATTGGGTCATGAGCAATATATTCCCAAAAAAGCTTCCCATGGGTAGTTTCAAATGCTGAAGAATCCTCATTTTTAAACCAAGTGGACAATTGATGAAATGGATTTGTCAAAACTGAATCAAGCATCGCCTGCACAAACGGTGTCACACTCATCGGATTACCCTTAAGTAATAATCTAGATACACCCGTTAGCATATACTCTATTTCTAACTCATTATCGGTAACATTTTGTTGAGAGAAAAAGCCAGAATGAGTCATGATTCGCATCAAACGATAGATGTAAGGTTGTTTCGAAGGATCAATTGATAGTGAAGAAATGAGTTTTGAAAGTGACATGGGTTGACCATAGTTGTGTATGATATCTGGTATACCTAAATCAACAACACATTTAAGTGACATGGAATTGATGAAGTTGAAAATATGATTCCATATGTGAGTTTGTGCTTTGAGCAAATCGGAAGCAATGTTCTCTTTGTTGTTGGATTCCATACTTGCTAACTGAATTTTATTAACAAGACTTAATGTATATATAGAATGTGGATTGGAACCACATAATATTCAATGCATTATCATATTTATTGTTTGAAAATCAAAGCCATGGATGTTTTGTTTATTGCGCTGCCTTTTATTGACTTTTTTGATGGGTATTTCTTGTTTTAGTTTAATCCAAACATGCAACTTGTAACTAATAAAAATTTACTCAAATTGATGGAAGGATTAGACTTCCACCACATTGCGAACCACAATATTCAACTTTCAATTAAAAAAGTACTAGTATCTTATAAGTTAAATAATTGATACCCGTTAAATGAGATAATTGATACCCGTTAAATGAGAGTTATATTCATAGTTTATATAGCTTTGTCAAACAATGAGAAATGTCAGCGTTTAGAATAAGTCTGTTAGAATTGGGCCACAAGCACATTAATTATTCTTTTATAAACTTGTTTGAATTAATTAATAAGTATTTCGAATTAAAATAATTAATTATTTAATAAATAACTTTAATGGCGGCTTTTAAAACAGAAGGATTAAAATATATTTTTGTATAGGACCACACGTTGCTGACTTCAATGCCTTGCCCATCAAATTTTATTTGAATAAGATTTGTACCATCCTATGCGCTGGAAAAGAATCTTATGGATTTTCGAAAATGTCTCTTAATTTTTAAAAGTATATTTTTGAATACATCTTACACACATACCTAATATTTATTTGTGAGACGCATTTATAATTTTTGACTATTTATTTTAAAATAATATTTTTGAAATGATTTCGGATATATTTTTGAAAGTAAATTATAGTTGTAATAGTGTAATGTGGAACTTTCTAATCAGATTTCAAAAGAGAGTTTTGGATTATGATGAAATCAGGTTTTCTAAAAAAGGGTTTTGGAACTTTTGGTGGAATTTCAATTTGCTATAGCTGCGTGAATTAGACGAGATTCTAAGTGGAACTTTTGGAATTTTTGGTTGGTCGTATGTGTTGAAATATTAAATTAAATTAAATTAGATTTGATTAGATTTAATATTTAATATAATTTAAGTTGTATTAGTCAAACCCAGTTAATATTGTATATAAATAGTCATAGTGTGTATCATTATTTATACACTTGAATAATACAAATTCTTATTTTTCTTTATTTTTCTCTCTTTCTCTCCTCACTAAAAGTGTCTCACGCACTAACAAATTGGTATCCAGAACTTCCGATTATTGTTCTTGATCAAGTTTTCAAGAATTTCACGTTAGAGATCGTTTTTCTAGGACAAGTAAATCAACCGTTGCAAAGATGGCTAATGATAAGGGCATTCTAAATTCCCTTCCAATGCTTGACGGTAAAAATTGGATCTTATGGAAAAAACAAATGCAATCCTTATTTGGCTTCCATGAAACCCTAGAAGTGGTTACCGGCGGCGTTCCGGCATTGACTACAAATGCAACCGACGAACAAAAAAAAGCCCACAACAAAGTCAAGAAAAAAGATTGCAAGGCTGCTTATTACATTCAAACGGCTGTCGATGCTGCTAACTTCGACAGAATCTCTCATGCTGAAACAGCGAAAGAGGCATGGGATATTCTGGTAAAGTATTTCGAAGGAGGTGAGAAAGTCAAGGTTGTCAAATTACAAACCTTGCGTCGATAATATGAGTTGTTGTCGATGGGAGAAGATGAAAAAATTACAGAATATGTGTCGAAGGTTCAGAAACTCGTCCATCTCATGAAGGGTTGTGGTGAAACCATTACTGATAAGATGATAGTTGAGAAGGTAATGAGAACGTTGACCTCTCACTTTGATCACGTTATCGTAGCTATTGAAGAATCTAACAATCTTGAAACCACTAAAGTGGAAGATTTGGTTGGTTCGTTGGAGGCGCATGAGATGAGGATTGTCGAAAGAAAAGGAGTTCAGGACTCGATACAGGCACTGCAAGCTCAATCATGGAAAAAAGATGGTGGTTCCAACAAATTCAAAGGCAAGTTCGACAAGACTCATGGCAAGAAGTCTTGGTCGAATTCCCATAAGAATAAGGTCGAAGATAGATCTTCTAAATCCTCGAAAAAGGGAGGAGGAAACTATCGAAAGGACAAAGAAGATAAGAAAGGTATGCAGTGTTATAACTGTGAAAAGTGGGGACACTTGGCCAAGAATTGTTGGTACAGAAAAACAAGGGATCAAAAGGCAAGGACGAAGGAGCGAACCTTGCACGCCAAGATTCAGATGATTCTGAAGGTGGTATGATGGTTATGGCTGCAGTTGCAGATAACCATGTTGAATATAATATCTGGTTTCTCGATTCAGGTTGCTCGAACCACATGATTGGTTGAAAGGAGTGGTTGGCAGATTTTGACGAGTCGAAGAAGAGCAAGGTAAAACTTGCTGATAATAGTTTGTTGCAAGTAGAAGGTACTTGCAACATAGTCTTTCAAATGAGTAATGGAGGAAAAGCTATGATCAAAGATGTGCTCTATGTACCTGGAATGAAATGAACTTGTTAAGTGTTGGACAACTAGTTGAAAAAGGTTTCTCAGTTGTCATGAAAGATTGAGTTTTGGAATTGTTCGACACTAAGAACAATTTGGTTTTAAAATCTCCATTGTCGAAGAACAAGATATTTAAGACTATGATCAGTTCGACAGAAGTTCAATGTTTGAAAACTGTTGTCGACCACAAGGATAGTTGGTTGTGGCATTTGAGGTTTAGACATTTGAATTTTCGATCACTTAATCAACTGATTACTCAAGATATGGTTACTGGTATTCCAAGTCTTGAGATGCCTGAAAAACTTTGTGAAGGTTGTTTAGTGGGAAAGCAATCCATAAATTCTTTTGTTTCGACTATGTCAATGAGATCATCCTGCATTCTCGAAGTGGTGCATTCAGATGTATGTGGTCCATTTGAAGAACATACAATTGGTGGAAACAGATATTTTGTTTCCTTTGTCGATGAATTTAGTCGAAAGCTGTGGATCTATGTGATCAAATGAAAGGACAAATTATTCGAAATTTTTAAGAGATTCAAGATACTTGTCAAAAACTAGAGTGAGAAGAAGATCAAAGTTCTACGAACAAATGGAGGTGGCGAATACACATCCGAGATGTTTGAAGATTTCTGTGCAGAACATGGTGTTGATCATGAGGTAACTGTTCCTTACACACCTCAACATAATGGAATTGCTGAAAGAAGAAATATAACCATATTAGTTATGGCAAGATACATGCTGAAGCAAAAGAATTTGCCAAAATATTTATGGGGAGAAGTTGTTTCGACTGCAGTTTATATTTTGAATAGGTGTCCTACTAAGATATTGATGAACAAGGTTCCTGAAGAAGTGTGGAGTGGCAAACGACCATCAGTAAGTCACTTGAAGGTGTTTGGCTCTATGTGTTACAAGCATGTTCCTGATGCAAGGAGAAGGAAGCTTTATGACAAGAGTGAACCTATGATTCTGGTAGGATATCATAAAACTGTTGCATGCAGACTATTCAATCCAGTTAATGAAAAGATTGTGTTGAGTCGAGATATTGTGATTAATGAAAATTCTGCATGGGATTGGAATTCTAGCAATTCAATTAACAAATCATTAATGAACTTTGATTTCGACGAAGAAACTAATGAAGTAGAGGTCGAAGGAATTGTTGAGAATCCAGTCGAAGTCGAAGAAGAAGCGATTGTTGACACTCCCGTCACAGTCGAAGTCGAAGAGGTTGTGGCTGAAACAAGCCAAAGACCTCAAAGAAATAGAGTTCTTCCAACAAGACTTCATAATTATGAAGTGATGGGTGATGATGAAATCACACCAGATGGAGAATTAGTTAATTTCTCTTTACTTGCAGGTGCTGAACCAATCAACTATAGCGAAGCTTTGAAGATTAACAAGTGGAAGTTAGCTATGGTCTAAGAGTTACAGGCAATCGAAAGAAACAACACATGGGAGTTAGTCGAATTGCCAACACATACAAAAGCTATCGAAGTAAAGTGGGTGTTCAAGTTGAAACACAATGCAGATGGGTCAATAGCAAGACATAAATCAAGATTAGTAGCTTGAGGTTTTCTTCAAAGAGCAGAACTTGACTACTCTGAAGTATTTGCTCCAGTAGCAAGATTAGAGACTGTTCGACTAGTAGTAGCATTGGCATGCAACCAAGGCTGGTCAACATTTATCTAGATGTGAAATCAGCATTTTTGAATGGTCCTTTAGACGAAGAAGTTTATGTCACACAACCTCCTAGGTTTGTGATTCAGAAGGAAGCGAGTAAAGTATATAGATTTCACAAAGCGCTCTATGGCCTCAAGCAGGCACCTAGGGCATGGAACAAGAAGATCGACTCATACTTAGTCGAATTAGGATTTGTCAAATGCAAATTAAAGTATGGTGTCTATGTTCAGGTTGTAGCACAAGATATAATAATCATCTGCTTGTATGTTGATAACTTGCTAGTAACTGGAAATAGTTTGGAGAACTTGTCGAAGTTCAAAGAGCTGATGACGAAGGAATTTGAAATGTCGGATCTAGGAAAATTGTCTTATTTTCTAGGCATGGAATTTCAAATCTCGAAGCAAGGTATGGTGCTACATCAAAGAAAGTATGTCAAAGAAATACTCAAGAGATTAAGAATGGATGATTCGAATCCTGCATCCTCACATGTCGAACCAAATTTGAAGTTGGAGAAGAATGGAGAGGAAGACAAAGTCGATGCAACTTTGTTCAAGCAAATTGTGGGATCTCTGAGGTATGTGTGCAATAGCCGACCTAATATAGGTCTCGCAGTCGGATTAGTAAGCAGATATATGGGTGAACCAAGAGTGTCACATATGAAGGCTACAAGAAGAATCCTTCGATATTTGAAGGGTTCAATAAATTGTGGAATACTATTTCGACGAGATTCTGAAGGCAAAGAAGCAATAGTTAATTGTTTTTCAGATGCTGATTGGTGTGGATATAAGGAAGATCGAATAAGCACAACTGGATATTTCTTTCAAGTATTTG